TTGGTTTTGTCTCTGAATTCTTCAGCTTCTCAAAGGGCCTGGCTCTTGTGAAAGCTTTAGTTTCAATCTGTCTCTGTTGAAATTTCCATATCCTGAGAAGTAAAAGCATTCAGGAGGGCGTCTGCCGGGACATTTAGCACTCTCCAGCAACCTACCTTCATAAATCCATCTTGTACAAACTGTTGATTACTATTCTGAAATACAGTGCAAATTTTCAGACAGTTATGTCACATTCCCACTTTCTTGAACATTCAGAATTCTTTTCTTGTTCTGTATCTTTCCCATGTCCCCCAAAGCACAGAAGAAGAGGGCTGAATTTCTTCCCAACACAGTTATTAGGAAGAGGGAAATCAACAGAGCAGTCCATGACTTGGGAGGTTGTGGAAGCAGTGTTCAGCAAACAGTGACAATAATCATGCTTTCCTCTTTAGTAAAAGCTTGGAAAAGCTGTCAGCCACCACAAAGGATTATTAGTTGCTTGGTCTGAAGAACTGAAGCTGCTCCTAAATTTTTAAGGAAGTGACAAACACTTCAAGCTGGCTTACATAAAACGTGGGGCATTACAATTCTAAATGTAAAAATCACCAGTCACTTTTCCTTCTATTCCACTTTCTCTTAGCAATGGCTTACAAGTAAATACTTGGGCAGTCTCTCACAGTACCAGGCTTTCATGCTTTCTGCAGAACATTTTAAATGATGTTTCGCTCTTCCCCTGTGTGCAATGTTCAGAAACTGACCAGAATAAATCACCACAAACAAAACTAAACAAAATTTTTCACTACTACATAAAGTGGTGAGTCTGGAAAGGGAGGCAAATGGTTTGCCAGAGTTTATTAGGGATTGAATTTATCAATGGAAGGAAGAGGTAAGTTTATTAACTTCTTAAATGTAGACCTTGAGCCACCTAGCTCAGACAGAATTAATAGCCTGCTAAAACTGCAGCGATAGGCAGGAATACAAACCAAAAAAATAGAGTAAAGCCACATTTGGGAGATAATCAGATTTGAAATGCATGAACTTTTGTTGTCTGTGTTCTTTGCTTTTCCTCTCTGAGCCACAAATGTCAGCAGTCTCCAAGTCCAATTTGCTTAGTGCAAACCAGCCACAAACACAGCCAAAATGAACTTTTGTCAGGAATTCACATGTGGAAAATTCCAAGAAGAACCATGAAGAACAACAAAAATATCTCACTAGCATCACCTAACCAAGGAAAATAATTTCACTTGGGAAAAATCTTTCCACTTGTAATGAACAATCTGAATTGAAAAACAAAACAAAACAAAACAAAAAAATCCCAGTGAAAGACCAGAAAAGGTCACATGAAGGATTTAATTCTTGTGAGATTTTTAGACCATTCTCCAAAAGGCCAGAGAAAGAGCTGCTTGTGCTGAAGTAGCTTCTGCTGAGGTTCACAGAATCCTGGGCCCTCCAGGAACCTGGCATTTGAGTCAGTATTCCCTCAGACAGGACACATATGCTGAAATCATGCCCCCAATCTGAGTCCTCTCTATAGATAATTTACTCACTGGTCTGCACTGAGAAAGCATTTGTTCTGCTTTGTGATTTGCATTGTGGAACTTCTGGAGGCATGGCTAGAAACACCAGAATTATTTGCTTTGAAAATATGAAAAGATAGACATTTTAATGTTTTACATTTTCCTCTCCTTTTTACAGATTTAACACACACATGCCAAATAAATCTCACATTATCTGCAGTTCAGACAGGCACAACATTCCATTTTGGGCAAAGAGACATTCATCAAATGCAATACTCCCCAGACCTGCAAACAAATATACTTTTAATGTGTCTTATAACCACATTACAGACAAGGCCATAAACCAGCTGGAGTTTTCCAATAACACTCATTTCTCCTATCTAAAATAGTGCTTTAGACATACTCTGAGGTGCTGGACTTCATCGACAGCCTGACAATTTTTAGTCATGGACTGCAACTTCTGAACAGCACTTTATGAACCTCCTAGGTTGGAGGAACTCCCTGAAAACTATTAACTCACCAATCTTTGTGGTTTTGCCAAAGTTTTGCACCCAGAAAAATATAAATATTTGTTCTAAAACCTTTTTACTTTTGCAGCAAATAATCTGCAAAATAAATCAAACTACAGGCTGAATTTCAAAGTTAGCATCTTTCCCACCAAATCTGTAAGACGTTTCACATGAAGTTCAGGAAAACACTTTTCAACATTTTTCCATTAATGGGGTTCCTCCACAGAGAAGAAAAACAGCACATTTTAGCTTCTCCAGCTCTCAGGTCCCCAGCCCTTCTTTTCTGTGTGCAGCATGACATTGAGGAGAGCCTGCAGGAACTCCAGCCTTACTTTTCCCACCTCATCACACTCCAACTTGTGTGTTTTGCTAGTGCCACTTAATTTTGAGACTGAGCAGAGCAGGGATTGCATGCAGCTGCATGTTGGCATGAATATTGCTTCTGGCTTTTGAGCTGAGCCATATCACAGCTTTGCTCACCATCCTGTGGGCTTGTGTGTCATCTCATGTGTGGATTCTGGGCGCTGCAAGAAATCTGCTCAAGGACATCTGTTTAATAATATTTTTACTGTTTTTAAAAGAAAATCCTGTGCTGAGGGAAGGCGAAATTGCACAGCAGCTGCACAGACAGAAAGGTCTGGGCACTGAGATCCATCTACATTAAGTTAGTATTTATTCGGGTATGACAGTAATTGTATGGTAACTGAACATCTTCAATATTTCCCCCCCTCAAAAGCAAAACATTACTGCAGGCAACAGTCTAGATTTAGGTGAACTCACACTGTGACAAACTGAGAATGGAGAAAACACATTTCTTGTCCATAAAAGGACAGCTCACACATCCACAGAGGGTAGCTCAGATATTGCTGCTGTTCCAAACTGCAAAGTGGGGACTCAATCTTGCAAAAAGGAGTTTTGTTTAGAGTGGATAGAACGTTCTTCAGCTAAAGATTTTTTTCTTCTTTTTTTCCTTTGCCTTCTGAAACAGAAAATGGTTCACCCCCTAAGCAGAAAATGGTGATTTTTTTTTTTAAGTGGAAAATTTTCTGTTCAGGAGGGAGGGGATCCTTCCCCTTATCTCAGCACTGGTGATGCACATCTGGAGTGCTGTGTCCAGTTCTGGGCTCCTTAGCACAGAAGCAAATCCATGAAAATTATTAAGGATTAGGACAACTGTACCTCGAGAGGCTGATAGAGCTGGGGCTGTTCATGCTGCAGAAGAGAAGTTCCAGGGGGATTTTATTGAAGTGCAGAGATATCTCACAGAAGGGATTAATAAAGATGGAGCCAGGCTCTACTCAGGTGTGTCCATGATAGGACAGAAGGCAATGGGAAAAAACTGAAATATAGGAAACACTGCTGATACATGAAATATATTTTTGCGAAGTTTAAGGGTGTTGAACACTGGAATGGCTTGTCTAGAGGCTGTGGAGTCTCCATCCATGTAGATGTTCCAGATCTGAGTAGGCAGAGCTCTCTGCAAGCTGCCCTGATACTCCTGTGAGCAGTGAGATTGGCCTACATAATGTCCTGAGGATCCTCCCAACTCCATCTGTCCCACGGTCTGTGACTCTGTGCCTTCATCCCAGAGTGCCAGAGGTCTCTGACACATGGCAGATGTGTTTGCAGAGCAGGAAAATCAAATTCAAGGCTTTCCTGAGTAATTTGAAGGAGCATTACAGTCAGGGTTTATAACAGACTATGAGGGTGCTCTAAGAGGAGTTTTGTATTTTCTCCTTCAATCCACTACTTGTGCAGCAAATTTATAAGCAGGTGTGATCTTTAGTGAATGGTTCACATCCATGACTTAGGATTTTACATTGAAAATTGATTTAATTTAAATATTAATGATAATACCAAATACACAAGCAAAAAAAAAATCTTGTCCAAATATACAAGCAAAAAAAAAAAAAATCTGTCCTCCCTGGACAGTTGCTCCTGGCTCTCAGCTACACAAACAAGATGACAGAAAGGCTTAAAAAATAAGTGACAAATGAGCTTCTAGAATATGGACAGAAGGTAGAATTAGAAGGAGACCACAGGAAGCCAAATAGAGCAGTGCATGGCAAAGTACCAAGAAGTAGCACACTTTTAGAAATGGTTTTCAAAATACTGAATCATTGAACAAAATTTTTGAGTTTTAGGAGACGGTGGGGAGAGGGATGACCCCAATCTGTCCTTGAATATTTCTAATTGATGTCAGCTTTGTTTCACCTTATATAAATGTAACTTCTTAAAAAACCACCAAAAAAAAGATCCCCAGTCCTGAAAACAACTCCCACAAAATGGGAGTTGGGTCACTGGGTCCATCTGAATTCCCCACTTGTATTATAGAGGCCTAATAACCACTTTCTGATTTGACTGCATTATTTTCCTTCAGGAACCCTTTCCCTTACTAGAGAGAGAAAGAAAACAAAAGCACTATTGAAACACAGGATTTATTTCCTTCTTATGGTAACATTAAATAGAAGCCACTTGATAAATATGAGTTAGATGAGTCTGAGAGATCTCAGCCCACAAAACCTGACAACAGTTAGCTAAGTCAGAACTTTTTCACTTCACACAGTGAAACAGTTTTCTACTGTGCATGATCCTGCAAGTTTGAAAATAAACTTCTCTGTGGAATAAACTCTGTGGCAGTAACTTCGCCTCTCTGCTGCCAAGCCCAGGCCATGCTATCCCAAGAACTACCTACCTCTGCAGAGAAAGGGCTTAGCTGATATATATGCCACTAGGCATGGAAAGGGGAAAAGCAAGCCCTAAAATATAGATGAAATATTGAAAAAAAAAAAAAATCAGAAGAGAGTTTGCATTCATTATGAAGTATAACAAATAGCATCTTCAAAGAAACACACAACCTGTTTCCATACCTCTATATATGTCTCATATCTTAGTAACATAGATGTTACTAAAAAAATCCCAATTTTCATGTTTACAGCCTCTAGCAAACCTCCCTCTTGGACTGTTTCAACATTGACTCTCTGTTTCTTTGCAGATCTTACAGGTGAACAAGGTGATGTCCATCTTGTTTTATGTGATATTTCTCACTTACCTTCGTGGCATCCAGTCTTCCAACATGGATCAAAGGAGTTTGCCAGAAGATTCGATAAATTCTCTTATTATTAAACTCATTCAGGCAGACATTTTAAAAAACAAGTTTTCTAAGCAGATGGTAGACATTAAGGAAAACTATCAAAACACAGTGCAGAAAACAGACGCTCAGCAAGACATAGACAGAGAGGAAAATGTGAAATCAGACTTCCAGCCAGTTTTCTCAGTGGATACAGATCTCTTGAGGCAGCAGAGACGCTACAATTCTCCCCGAGTCCTTCTGAGTGACAACACGCCGCTGGAGCCGCCGCCCCTGTACCTCATGGAGGATTACATCGGGAATTCCGTGGTGGTGAACAGAACCTCCCGGCGGAAGAGGTATGCAGAGCACAGGGGCCACCGGGGGGAATACTCCGTTTGTGACAGTGAAAGTTTGTGGGTCACGGACAAATCCTCCGCCATTGACATCAGGGGACACCAGGTGACTGTTCTGGGAGAAATTAAAACGGGCAACTCTCCAGTTAAGCAATACTTTTATGAAACGAGGTGTAAAGAGGCCAAGCCTGTAAAAAATGGCTGCCGCGGCATTGATGACAAGCACTGGAACTCCCAATGCAAGACATCCCAAACTTATGTCAGAGCACTGACTTCAGAAAACAACAAACTGGTGGGCTGGAGGTGGATACGGATAGACACCTCCTGTGTGTGTGCCTTGTCCAGGAAAACAGGAAGAACATAGATCTGCATCTCTTTGCTATATAAATTATTACTTTAAATTATATGATACGCATGTAGCATATAAATGTTTATATTGTTTTATATATATTATAAGTTGACCTTATTTATTAAACTTCAGCAAATCTACAGTATATAAGCTTTCTCTCTCAATAAACAAGAGCAAAGGGTGTGTGCCTCTACCGTGGCCAACTCTGGGGTTTTTTAGACTATGTTTGTGACACTGCTTGTTGGCAGCATACCTTAACCTTCCTGTAAAATCTGTAAAATCAGTATTTTTCATTCAGTATTGTCAAACCGGTGACTGTCATTTAGTAAACTTGTTAAAAATCAGATCAATGCCAAGACTTGTGTACATATTTATATTCCCTACTCTATCCATTCACATTTAATTGGATCTGCAGTGTTGCCTCCTCACCACCAAAAAAAAAAAATGGACCAAAATACATGTTGCAGCCTGCAGATGATGTCAAATTTTCAGGCATCAGGTAGCACTAAAATATAGTTTCTGTGTACGCCACTTTTGCCAGTGAAATGACCATTTTCCCTCTGATAGCAACTCAGAATGGCTGCTAATAATCCAGGAACATCCATTTGCATTTAGGAAGCACATTTGTTTTGCAACTGTTTCTAATGCTGCCAGTGCATCATTGAAAAAATATGAAAAAAATCTGAAATATTTGTAGCCAAAACTTGCTGAAGTCAAGAACTGATCTAAATGGATCATTAATATAATACATAAAAGATGGTTTGTTGTGATCAGCCTCCTCCTCCTCACATGAATCAAATATCTTCTGCTTGCATTGCTGGATCATTCCTCTCTGAGTTTTTAAATTAGAAACAAAGCTGGGAGTGTCTTAACCTTAAAAGAGTTCTCGGCTTGCACATCGTAGTAAAGAAAGATGCGATATCCTGGCCACAAGCCCGTACGAAAGCTTCCTTCTCCTCAGTGATCCATTCTCCATCTTTCACAGGGGGAAAATATGTGTTGAACTGCTTGAGAAACCTGGTACCTTTCACAGGAATGTGAAATGGTTGGTGGCTAAAATCCATGAAGTCTATAGTTATACTGAAGTTGCCCAATTAAACATATGAGTTGTTGCTTAGGAAAGACAAATGTGCTAGCATGTATTTACCTCAGAGTCTTCTGTGGATTGTCATGCAGCCCCGCTGACGACAGGAATAATGACACTACTTGAAGAGATGTCCCATTAGCTGTACAATGCCCTGGTTGGGATCCCACTCCAAGGAAGCAAATGAGAGTTCATGTCTAGGAACAGAATTCAAATTGAGCCACATGTTATCTGTGTCCAGATAGATCTAACCCACAGCCAGGGCTGGGAAATACCAGCTATTCAGAAAGTTTTACCCTCATTTATTTTCTGAGGGGTTTACAGATATAGCCTTTGCTGCCATAGCATGTTCAGCATCACAAATGGAAATGAGATCAGAGCCCTCAAACACAAGGCTGCAGGATGCCTTCGCTCATGCAGCTTTCACCCCTGGAAAACCAGCTTCAAACATGCAACAGGCCATGAAAGGCAGCAAACTGTGGGGTATCCCGTAATCCCTCACAGAGAGTGCTGCACACCATAAAACCACCTGGAGCTGGACTGGTTGCCTGGAGGCCAAGCAATGGAACAGTACTATCTTGGAAAGCCAGGTTAGAGCATATGGGTGTTTTCTTCAGGGAAGGCCAGAAGCAAAGCTTTTGAGAACCATCTCAATTTTCAGCATGAGGCCAGGGCATTTACCTCACAGGAAGTATCATCACTTTCAGCACTAAATCCTAACTTTGCTTCAAGCAATAACCACTTCAGAGGTTCAATACCAAGGCAGTCATTAAAATGACAGGATGGAATATAACATGGAAGTCAGTATCTGACAGATCTGATTAGAATATTTCTCATTTCTTGGCAAAATTTTTAAAAAGAAAAAAAAACCAACCCCACAGAGCTTTTGCTACTTTTCCCAGTAGGAAAGTTTAAGTTTTAACTAACCATTTTGGCTTGGGGGAATAAGCATATTTTTCAGAGTTCTGCCACACTGGATTTTTTTTGTAAATTAAAAGCTTGATTTTACACCCTGAGTTCCCAAATAAAGATCTTTTGCGGATGCTGAGAACAATTGAGAGCTTATATAGTTATAGATCACTAACTTTAGAGATGTACTTGTTTCACTGTGCCACATAGGTCTATCTCCATGTGAGAAGAGGAGGTAAGGAGACCAATCCCATTAATCAGAAACTGCCTTGTTTGGCAGTGTGGATGTCACTTTTGTTTACATAAATCCATTTCTCCAGATTTTGTTACTGTAAATCCAGAGAAGATCTGTTGAAGACAGGAAAGAAAATATAGCTCTATAACAATATAGACAATGTCAGAGTTGATTCTAATGCCTTTTTTTTAATGCTCACTGAAAATCACGGGAGGTTCATTCCTTAAGGGTTCAAAGAAAGCCATTTGCCATTTTCCACTGTAAATCCAGTAACAGGAACTGTTCTTTGACTCTTGACTTTAACAAGTATTTTACAAGCAGCCAGCAAAAATATCTCAGAGTAAATATGCCTGTCATCTGAAACACATGAGATGAGAATGGAGTGTGGTGTGTACGGTTATTAGACTGGCTGCCCCTTTCCCATCCCAGGAAAACAATGAGTGGAAGTGTTACCCTCTGGATCTGATACAGCTTCCACTAAACTCAATGGGGGGAAAAAAAAAAAATCTCACCTTCTCTGGTGGAATCTGGATCAGGCCCTGAGCGAAGAAAACCCTGCAGATCTCGACCAGAGAGCAAAGTAATCCCACACATCAGTAACACTTTCCTGTAAATCCTGTGTATGCATAAGATGCTGTATAATTTTGTAACGAGTTTGTAAACAAAGCCTGTAATAAATTTGTTAAGGTCTAATTCTCTTTTCACTGTAGCCAGGGATGGTTTTATTGCCAACTTTGGTCATGGCACAATGAATTCAAAATTCTTATCCAACTTTTTTTTGTTTGTGTTAAGCAATTAAACAAAATATTCAGCTCTCAACGCCAGTTTAATTTAAGCATTCTAAAAATCACTTCCATTAGGCAGCTCAGATGCTCTGTCAATATTGTTTTGCCAATAGATCATTATAAACACACATTATATTTATATTTTCTCCCAAATGACCAAATGCTATTCTGAAATTGCCTGTCTGTGTCAAAATGTATTTTCTCTGCTTTTTCCCCCTAGTTTTTTTCCAGTCCATTTAGTAACAGCAAAAAATGCTCCACTGAGGTTTTGGAAAACCATCTGCATTTATTTTACCACCTTTGAACATGTGTTCAGGAATGAAGTCTGTGCAGAGAGTTTACTGCTACCAAGAGATTTGTGCGGCTGCACCAGGAAGAAACTTTGACTGGACTTTACAGAGTGTGTGCTCAAAACCACTCTGCTCATACTCTGTTATTTCAATTCTTTAGCAACTCGAGGCTTTTGCATTGTGTATCTGCAGACAATACCAAACAGGAAACAAGCCTGATCAGGAGTTTCAAAATTAAAAATTTCATTATAATGACCTGCTATCTCTGACCTCTTGGCAAATGCAAATGTTTGCGCAGCGAAGTCAAGCACAGGAGCATTTGTTTCATTTAACAGAAATATTTTGGCAAAAGCAACGGGATTTCTGTGCTCTCTGTGCTTGCTAAGCATGTGTAGTTCATCATGGATATGGACAGGAGGAGGAAGAGGAGGAAGAGGAGTAGAATCAGATAAAAAGCACTAGAGCTTCTAAGAAGTTAAAAGGCTGTGCTCCAGCTTGGAGCATTTTAAAGTGTGGAGGGGTTGTTCTCTGAAATGCTTTGTCTGTATTTTGTTACAGCAGATGGCAGAATGACGAAGCAAGCACAGATGTGGTGTAAAAAAACCAAGCAATATGAGGATAACGAAAAACTTTCCCGGGAAAGTCGGCCACTTGCTACCACTGTGGGTCCCTGCAGTTCTGGGCAGGTGACTGCAGAGTTCAGCTATGACCTGGGGGGGAGGGGGAAGGAGTCTTTTTTCCTGCAGCACGTTACATTCACAAGCTGGATCGTTTTCTTTCCTTTCCTTTTTTTCTTGTCCCTTTGAGTTTTTTGTTTGTTTGTTTGTTATGGTAATCTCCAGCTGCTTTGGCACCTCTGATGAACAATGAGTGGTAATGCTTTGCATGAATGTCCCCAAATATAGATTTCTCCTTTGTTTTAGAACTGAGCTTTGAAGCCAGCAGTGCCTGAAAGCCATATTTTCTTCACAGAACTGGCCTTTTGAAGTCATGACCTCATGTTTCTGGGCATTTTGATCACAGGGCTCTATTTTGGAGCTCTTATCCACACAATAGACGAGATCATGACCAGGCTGATTGAGAAGTGGCTGTGTACACGACAACGAAGACAGAATGAGGCAGCCCTGTGCCATCTTTGCATCCACCTTCACACATCTACTCTTCTGATTTCAGTCTTGAGTTGCATGATCAAGGGCCAGTGATCAAGGTTTGCTTTCTGCATGTCCAAGGGTTCAGATGCCCAAAATATCCTATAATGATTAGGTTTGGGAGTGACCCTAAGGATGATCTCATTCCAACACCTCTGCCATGGGCAGGGACACCTTCCACTAGACCAGGTTTCTCAGAGCCACATCCAGCCTGTACTTGAGCACTTCCAGGGATGATCTTTGGCAAGAGGACAATTTCTCAGTTTACATAAACATGTCTTGTGTTAATCTGGGTACACCTTCTGTAAAAGGCTGCCATGGTTGCAGCATTGGCCCTCTCCAAAACACAGTACATTGTCACTTTTCACCTGTGTCACAGGGAGCAGATGGAGTCATTGACAGACCAGCTCCTCCCTCCATGCAGGGGAGACTGCTAAGGAGGCACAAAACACGGTCCTTTTTTCTAAACAAAAATATTCCTATGGAGGGTGTGAGGAAAGCAAAGGAAGTGCTGAAACACGCAGGGAGTCAGAGTTGTTGGGTGGCAAACATCTTGCAGAGATTTTGGAAAGCAAGGGAGAATTCAGCTGTTCAACTGTAACATCAGATGAAAGGCTCTTTCCTGCTGTGATAAGGGTTAAATAAATACCATTAGATCATCTGTAGCAGTAATTCAAAATCAAAATAAACCTTTATTAATTGGGGTTAATCCCTCTGTGTTGATGAGGAGTTAACCACACTTGCTGTGCACAAATGATGAAGCCTTGCTGTCAGTTACCCTGTGGTAGCCCCTGTTTTCAGCACTCAGGACTATGAAGCCATTAAGTGACGGCCAAATATGGCTCAGAAAGTACTAAATCCACGTTTAAATGCATGAGGGGGAGCCCACGTTGGAAGCATTATCCACCACACAAAACAAGCACAGTTTTTAACATGAGTTTCATAAAAATTTCTCATTACTTTGTCCAGTTCCAGGGATTTAGGTTTTAAAATAGGTTTTGAACTGTCTGGTATGAGCAGTACACATATATTTAGCAGTAATTTACTAAAGAAAAGAACCCTGTAAATGGAAGTATGCAGCGAAATACTGTGTCCAGCACTGCACATAACCTCTGTTGATTCTTATTTATGTTCTCAGTGTCTCAGAGAGGAATTTAATACAAATCTTGGTTTTGTTTTACTCACCACATTTTGTAAAATAATCACCTCAACTTACTGCTTGTAGAGGTTTGTGGTGTGCAATCTTTGTGGATAATGAAGCAGAAACATGCCTGTAAAGCTGCTGAGCAATGTAAGAGTTGCAAGTCCCACACTTGCACAGCAGAGAGTAAAAACAAACATGTGAAAATAACAGAATTCGTTTCTCAGGCTCAGAAAGATTAAATATGTTTTAAAATATCAAATGACAGCTTTTTTCAAGTTATTACAAATATTTCAAGTCAGATTTGTATGGGACCCAACCCACTGCTCACATGGAGCATAATTTTTGTAATCTTTCTTATTGCACAAATCTACTCAATGTGATTCCCATTAAGTTCAGAAAACAGAAATTTGCTCACTTCCACCCTGCTGACAGAGCATTCAGAATATCCCCAATAGATGAGCCAAATCTCAGGTCAGAGCATAATCCCTGAGTTTATGTCCTAAGGATAAAACTACCAGGAAGGAATTTTTTTTTCTGCAGAGAGTGAGAGTTCAGCTGCCACATTCACAGTGTCTATGTCATGCTATCACATGTTTGAAGACATTAGGAGAAAAAATCTGGTCAGCTGGAGAGTTGATAGAAAGAAGAAGTGGGAGATGGATGGGGCAATAGTTATTACATGACCT